TACACCACATTACTTTGAGGTTTGAAATTAGCATCACTCTGCCCTTAGTTTCTTATTCCTGGATTCCTTGGAATGTGCTAATTATATTAGGTGGTCTGATCTTGTTATGGTTTGACCTTTAAAAAACCTGTTAGATCAGCTAATCTTGTAGCTCTGCTTATTTTTGGGGATCAGTGGTCCCATGATCAGTGCAAACAGTTAGAGTCAACACTTTGGTTAAATTGTGACAGACGAATTCCACTTGCAGGTTGCAAACTTGCAAGTTTTGCATTAGCTAATCTTAACTGCTTATACAATTGCCTAAATGCCTCCAAAAGCATATATTTATTGCTCATGATAGTAGCCCCTCTGGTTCTGGCCACCACACCTCTCTCAGCCTGTCACCTATGATTAATGTGGAGCTGGATCAGATTGCCCTGTGCCTTATCTGCATTTACATTTTTGCAGGATCCCAGGACTTGTGACAAGGACATCCAGTTCAAGTCATGAGTGAAGGGCTAATTAGCACATGGATCTTTTGTGGGGGCCTCTGGAGTACACACATCCACTGAGCAGTGCTGAGCTATGGGGTCACCATGGCTTGAAACACTGTTGACTTTGCAGGGGGCCATCTCAATAAGTTATATGGTAAATCATGAGCCTTTTGGCTTTAGTATTAGACCAGGGGATTTCAACCTGTGGTCCATAGACCCGCGGGGGTCTGCAGACTGTATCTAAAGGGTCTGTGAAAGATGACTATAATGAATCAAAAGTGTGTGAATACCCACATTTATGATTCAGAGGAGTCTGTAGCTGCATTTGAAATTTTCAAAGGGGTCTGCAGCTGCATTTGAAAAATTTTAGGGGTCCACAAATAAAAAAAAAAGATTGAAAACCACTGCTTTAGACTAATGTCACGTATACTTTTTACTACATATAAGTAAGTGCAAAAGTGCTGTTTAAGAGTGTGTTTATGGAATATCTGTGCTAAAACTCGCCACAGTTTCAAGAAAGGTAAAATGCATCAAATCTGGATGAAATAAATCTATGGGTACCCTTAGTAAATTGCCTATATGCAAATTACTGCAGGCATGTTTATTTCAGTCAGTGTTTTCAAATTTGCCTCTCACTTCAATATGCTCAGGGAGAGCAGGGTCTGACAGTAAGCGGGGGAAGGGGCTGTAGGGGGAAGAAGTTGGGGGGGGCAGAGGGCAAGGGGACCACTTGATCCCCCCAGATTTATTTTCCTTGCTGTAGCAGTGGAAGGGAGACAAATTCAAGGCAAACCTCTTATAATTAGATTCTACACCTGGAAAATTATAATACATTTATAAATTTTCCATATATAGAATCTAATTATTGGGAGGTCATCTTATATTCAGAGCCATCTTATATTTGAGTAAATATGGTAGGTGCCTAAGTCCATTTCAATGCCTACTATATTGAATAGAATGGAATTTGGCCCCTATGTGTCTATGCTGATATTATATATCAAAGCGGTCTTGGACAGTATCGATTATAAGGTGCTGTTATGCATGTGCCATACTACATACAGGGGTGTGAGACTGTCCTTTGGCATATTTATTAATTTTTGAGAAACTAAGAATTATTTCTTTGAGGTCTGCCATACCTTCTAACCAAATGTTTTACATGTTTATAGGAAGAGTTTGAGAGTTAGGGAAGTAAGGAGATGAGTTGGCCAAGTTTATATCAACCCTTGGTTGAAGATGCTGGTTCATGACTTTTAACTGAATGTGACAATTTTTGGCTGTCAATTTAGAGGCAGTGTTGAGCCCCAGCTCAAGTCTGGGATCGTGCCCGGTATGCAAAAGCCAATAAAGATACCAGGGGTGAAAGTATAAAGATTTATTGCTAGCAATACAAGGTGCAAGCGGAATAATTTCACGTAACAAGCACACCAGATCACTATTTCTAAGCATCTTTTATACAGGAGTTTTCAAGCATTCGCAAGTGTGCTTGTTTGATGATTGGTTATAAGTGTGTGACGCAAGAAGTTCTTTACTGAGCATGTCTCTATACCTGTGTTTTAGCCATGTATCTCATTTACATACACGTGTGTTTCATTAGCATACTTTTTCCCCACCTAGGGGTGTGATTTTTAGTATTTTAATGAGCCCTTTAACCCAGTACTCTGTTTCGTCTTTTGTTTTCAAGCCCCCTTTATCCGAGACTGTCTCCTCCTTATCATTGCAGATGGGCATTTTTCACATAGCATTCTCTTCTTCTTATTGTCTCTGAGTAGAGGTTTCTAGGTCCCGCCTTACACTCTCATCCAACCTGTACCTCCTTAGCTTCTTGCAAGAATGTTGTAGGAGACCGTATTAAAAGCCTTGTTAAAGTCCAGGTATATCACATCCACTGCTGTCCCTGCATCCACAGAGCCAGTTATTGCATCATAGAAGGCAATCAGGTTGGTCAGATATGACTTGTTGAATTCATGCTACCCGTTCCTAACAATCTTCTTCTCTACTTGATTAGAAATGGATTCCTTGAGGACCTGCTCCATGATTTTTCTAGGGACTGAGGTGAGGCTGACTGGTCTGTAGTTCCCTGGATCCTCCTTCCTTTTGTTAAAGATGGGCACTATATTTTCCCTTTTTCAGTTGTCTGGGACCTCCCCTGATCATTGTAAGTTTTCAAAGATGATGGCCAGCAGCTCTGCAGTCACATCAGCCAACTCCCTCAGCACTCTTGGATGCATCCTGTCTGGCCCTGTGGTCTTGTACATGTCCAGCTTTTCTAAGTAGTCCCTAACCTGTTTTTTCTCTACTGTTGGCTGCTCACCTTCTCCCCAAACTGTTCTGCCTGGTGCAGTCATCTGGGAGCTGACCTTGCCTGTGAAGATTGAGGTGAACAAGGCATTGAGTACTTTAGCCTTTTCTTCCTCATCTGTCACTAGGTTGCCTCCCACATTCAGGAAGGAACCCGCATTTTCCCTGATCTTCCTCTTATTGCTGGTATACTTGTAGAAATCCTTCTTGTTACCCTTCACATCCCTTGCTAGCAGCAACTCCAGTTGCACTTTGGCCTTCCTGATTTATCCCTGGATGCCTGAGCAATACTCTTGTGCTCCTTCCTAGTTTGTTCAAGTTTCCACTTTTGTAAGCTTCCATTGTGTGTTCTAGCTCACTGAAGAGTTCCCTGCTAAGCCAAGTTGGTCTTCTGCCATGCTTGCTAGTTTCCATGTGCATTGGGATGATTAATTCCTGCACCCTCAGGAAGGTTTCTTTAAAATACAGCCAGGTCTCCTGGACTCAGACTGGCCTCCCATGGGATCCTGTTCATCAGTTCCCTGAGTGAGTCGGTGTGCTTTTCTGAAGCCCTTACTCGGCTGATCTTCCTTTCCTTGGGATCCTAAATTCAGTCATCTTCTGGTCACTGCTGCCCAAATTGCCGTAAGTTTTAAGTCTAAATTTATAGATTCCTCTTAACTGTGGACATAGCTAGTTGGTTTTGCTTCTATCTTTTTTGAACATAGAACAACAACCTAAATATCTCCAAGCAACGAGGTTGCAAAAACTGCTATTTTTACCATTGGGATGTAAGCTGAAGTTAATGTAACTAGATATTTTTGCCCATGATTTGAGTTGATTCCTGTGGTGTTCTCTATTAAAAGTTTTTTTTAAATTACTTATTACATGGGAGTGTTGATGACTGTTTTCTGTTGTAGGTTACTTGGCTGTTTCTTTGTTTCTCCATGAAAATCATGAATTGTTGCTTCTGCTTGTTAACACAGTTGTGAAGGTAGGTTTTTTTAAGTGATTGGAGGTAAATACTACACTAAAGCTGGCAAGTCTCGTGTTCCTTTATCAGCTAGCAATGGAGTAAGGAAAATGACTATAAAAAAAGTCATAAAAAATGGATATAGCAAAATATGTCAGATTTTTATTTTGCCAAAACAGATATTTTTATATACACTGTTGACAGTTCTATATTTGAGCTTACTTGCTCCTGTATTCTTTCATTCTTCTGTAAGATCTGCATGGTTATCATGCCTTGCAGTGGGTAATTGTTTCTTGAATTCATTGTTTTAGTGCTGAAAAGCTTTTTAATTCCTCATTTTGAGTACTGTCCAGTTCCTGTTGAAGGTAGTAGAAAAGCTTTGACTCCAGTGGGAGATGCATCAGGTTCTTAACTCAGTTGTTGAGGATGCAGAATATTTTACATTAGTCAAACTTTTTTCATCACAAAAATTTTCATCACAAAAAATGCTCCCAGGTTATGGTCACTGTGCAGTGACACCTTTTTGGTTACTTTGGCTAGGTGCAGTTGTTCAGTTTCAGTCGGGGAGAATTGTTTTGTTTTTACTGGTAGACATCAGAAATGTACAGACGTTCAGGCTTTTTTCCTGGAGCAAATGCAACTGCTAGGGTCACCTTGGTCTTGAGAAGGTATAGGGGTAGCTGCTCTGCCCCCTTCTCTCTGCTGTAGATGAAGAGGTGTGGGGAGCAGCAGCCATTACTCCCTTTTTCCCAACCTGGGCAGTCCCCAGTTTCAGTACGAGACAGGCGGCTTTTCCTGCTCCCATTGGCTTCCCTTTGCTGCCTCCTTGCCCAGCTGAGTGGTGGGGCAGAGAGATAAAAGCCAGCAGCAGCTGGGTCTCGGGCTCTGGCTTTTAAATTGCTGCCCTGCCCGCTTGATGGGGCAGCAAGGGGTAGTCAACAGCTGGGTGGGGAAAGTCTCTGCATGGTTGTCTCTTGCCCCTCTGGCTTTTAAATTGCTGCCTACACTGCTCTGGGGCAGCGCAGGATGAGACAGGCTCTGTGCCCCTGCAGCAAGGCCCTTCCTCCTTGCACTCCTTTGGGTCAGAGGAGTGCAAGGAGTGGGACTGTTCTCCAGTGGGTAAACCAGGACATGGAACCCTCTGTGGCTGGCTGTGGCAACTGCTTCTTTTTAGCAGCCTACCCCCTTCCCAGGGGAGAGGACAGACTGTTAGTTAATGGGCTCCCAGAAGGGTGGGAGTAGCCAAGGGAGCAGCGCTGTAGTGCTGCTGGACAGCCTGTAAAGTCCAGCTTGCAGGCTCTTTTTTCTACTAGAAGATTTTTTTTCTGATAGAATGAACATCTGGATGCAGCCTTTAAAATGTCAGTGCCATTCAAGGAGAGGGCTGTCAGGAGACCTATTTTTGTTACTAATGCAGCATGGAAAGCATGAGCAAAAACCAGAACAGAATATTGGCAGGCAAGGGTCTTTGAGTAGATGTGGTATCTTTTATTAGACAAACTTAGTAGTTGGAAAAAAGTTCTTAGCAAGCTTTCGGGCACAGTTAGCCTTCTTCAGGCATAGGAAATCTATGCTGTTCTGAGACACCAAGGAATGAGAGAAGCTAAAAGTGTGACAGGATGTTAGTGAGAATGTAAATAGGTAGAAATTAGGAAAACAAAAGGTAAGCAGGGAAGGGTGGGGTGAGGGGAGGCAAGGGAAAAAAAGCCAAAGGTGAGTAAGGGAGACTCTACAGTACTGGTAATTCAAGGTAGAAAAAAGGCTGCCTGTGAAAAAGGAAATGGCTGGAATTAGGAAGACAAAGGGCAGAAAAGGAGGGTGGGAGGTGGGGAAAGAAGAGTGTAAGAGGTCAGGTCTGCAGGGGTGTAGGTTGTAGCCATGTTGGTCTAAGGACATAGGCAGACAAGGTTCCTTGGGTGAATTTGATATCTTTTATTAGACCAACCCAAATAGTTGGAGAATAGTTATTAAGCAAGCTTTCGGGTTCAAAAACCCTTCGTCAGGCTAGGGAAGCTGCAGCAGTTGGTGTGTGCTCTTCCTGGATGGAATGAAAAGTAAAGAAGCCAGAGGCTGGGCTGGGGAGTCAGTTGCCAGGCAGATTATAATGTATCAAAAATCCAATGTCTATGTTTAGTCCATGATCTCTAGTATCCAGCAGGTTGATGAAATGGAGTTCATAGGCTCGTCTCTGGGAAGTGTTGTGTAAGTTTCCCTTGAGGATCAGGACTAATAAAAGATATCAAATTCACCCAAGGAACCTTGTCTGCCAGAGGTCAGGTGTGCAGGTATCTGGTGAATCAGATGGAAGGCATTTATGTAATGTGTCATAAATCGAATGTCTATATTGAGTCCATGATTTTTTTTGTATCCGGTAGATTTATGAAGTGAAGTTCGTAGGCTCGTCTACTAAAGGTGTTTTGTAAGTTCCCTTTTGGGGATCAGAACTGAGACATCGGAGAGGGAGTGATTGTCTTGTGAGAAATCTGCCCCCACAGGTAACGGGGTATTCTTGTCTTTGACAGATTTTCGGTATGCGTTCATTCTTGTGCACAGTTGTTGTTTGGTTTCTCCTTAAATTAAGGCCTTTGGAGAGGATACGCGCACACTTAGCAAAGCTGAAAAATCTGTCCTCTCCAAAGGCCTTAATTTCTGTCCAGAAAACAACCAAAGAAGATACTACAATGTGGAGAGCTAGAAGAATTTTTTTGACGCTTCCATCTAAAGGAATATTGCTACAACCAAAAGGAATCCACCTTCAACACTAATTCATCCGGTGACAACATTGATTAAAAAATCTATGCCAAAAAATCCCCAAACCGCTCAGATAGGACACCTAACAGTGGACAAAATTTAAACCTCAATTGCTACATTGACTGCTTCAGAGAAAGAATGAACAACAAAATACTCAACAACAAACACCACTATAAGAACCTCTCCCTCTCAGAAAGAGGGGCCATAGAATCTCTAAGATCCAACCACCAAATAGTAATAAAACCAGCAGATAAAGGAGGAGCTATAGTTATTCTTAACCGTGAAGACTACATAAAAGAAGCCAACAGACAACTCTCTGACACTACCTACTATAAAAAACTAGAGGAAAATCCAACTCCCCTTTCCTCCTCAAAACCACCATTACATCATTTCCATCGGAACTATATGAAAATCTTCAGACCCTGATCTCTCTGCTACCTAATCCAAGGACTTTTTACCTACTCCCTAAAATCCACAAACGAGGAAACCCTGACAGAGCTATCATTTCAAACCATGGAACCCTAATGGAAGAAATATCAGGTTTTGTTGAATCCATCTTAAAACTGCTCGTCACCCAAAGACCAAGTTTCATCCAAGACTCAAAAGACTTCCTGCAAAAACTCAAAAACATAGACTACTTTCCCAGCAATACCCTCCTAGCCACCATGGGTGTCACTAGCTTATACACCAACATCCCACACCAGGATGGCATCCAGGCCTGCCTCATATATTTACAAGAACAAGATTACAACTCGGAGTACAGATCTCAGGATATCACTAAACACATATACTTTATCCAGACACACAACAATTTCAGTTTCAACAGCCAATGCATCCTACAGACCATGGGCACAGCTGTGGGCACCGAAATGGGCCCACAATATACCAGTCTTTTTATGGCCCACCTAGAATAATTCCTCAAGAACTGTGCCATCAAACCTTTACTATACCTGAGATACATAGATGACATCGTCATTTGGACCCAAACCCTGCAGTCTCTGATTTCCACCAAAAATTCAACAATCATTGCCCCTCCATCAGACTATCGCTTGAATACTTTAACAACAGCATTTCCTTTTTGGACGCCATGATCAATATCCAAGAGGATTAAATTCAAACCACCATGTGTAAGAAACCCATGGGCTGACATACATATCTGCACAGAACCAGCAACCACCCTAAGCACACCAAGAATGCTGTAATTTACCGGCAAGCTCTCCGATATCACTGAATTTGCCCCAAGGAGAATACCTGTGATCGCCACCTCACAAATCTCAAAAGGGCCTTCAGCCAACAAGGACATTCCTCCAGAGAGAGAGATTGCACTTTTGAAAGAGCCACCCGTATACTGTGTGAAAATTTGCTGCAGTACAAAAAGAAAATACCCACAAATCTCACACCACTAATTATATGACATATCACCCTTCTCTGGAACCTACACGGAAAATCCTTAAACAGTTGCAGCCCATACTAGAAGATGACCCAATTCTTAGAGAGATCTTTCCAGAACCACCCACCCTAGCCTTTATAAAAGCACTGAACCTTGCTAACCTCATCACCAGAAGCAAACTCCCTACCCAAGCCACACCCAGTGGATCCAGACTATGCCAGGACAAGAAATGCAAAACCTGCGAACACATCTCCACCACCCCCACAACAGCTACACCCCACAGCAGATCCATCACCATTCCTGGATCTTATACCTGCACCTCCAGAAATGTTATACATCTCATCCAGCGTACCAAATGCCCTGATGGAAAATATGTAGGAGAAACAGATCTCTCAGTTCTGATCCTCAAAGGGAACTTACAAAACACCTTTAGTAGACAAGCCTACAAACTTCACTTCATAAATCTACTGGATACAAAAAATCAGGGACTCAATATAGACATTGGATTTATGACACATTACAACCTGCCTTCCATCTGATTCACCAGATACCTGCCAGACCTGACCTCTTACACTTTTCCTTCCCCACCTCCCACCCTCCTTTTCTGCCCTTTGTCTTCCTAATTCCAGCCATTTCCTTTTTCACAGGCAGCCTCTTTCCTACCTTGAATTACCAGTACTGTAGAGTCTCCCTTACTCACCTTTTGGCTTTTTTTATCCTGCCTCCCCTCACCCCACCCTTCCCTGCTTTACCTTTTGTTTTCCTAATTTCTGCCTATTTACATTCTCACTGACATCCTGTCACGCTTTTAGCTTCTTTCATTCCTTGGAGTCTCAGAACAGCAGAGACTTCCTATGTCTGACGAAGGGTGACTGCACCTGAAAGCTTGCTAAGAACTTTTTTCCAACTACTCAGTTGGTCTAATAAAAGATACCACATCTACTCAAAGAACCTTGCCTGCCTATGTCTTTAGACCAACATGGCTACAACCAAAAACCCAGAACAGAATATTCTGATTTCTCTTAAAGAACTGGCACAGGTTTATATTTAAGTGTTTTGATTCTAAGGTGCATTTCCAAAACTCCTGGCTTATTAAAGTATTTCTTTGCTTCACTGACCCAAGTCTTACTGGGTCTGTTTGGTTGGTGATATAGTAGTCCAACGAAGAGAACCAGTAACTAATTTTCAGTGCTTGTGGCCAGTCAAATTGAAAGTGGAAGATCTATACGTGCTCATTGCCACCACTGTTCTGGAGCTGCTTGAACTCGCTGACATTAGTTGTTTTAGATAATTAGTCCTAAATAAATGAAGATTGATAGAAAAAATGAAAAAAACCCTTGACAAGACTTCAGAGATGGTTGCTGCAGAGTTTAGCACAGCTATGGGACTTTCTCTCCTTCAATCTTAGTGTGAAGTGTAAATTTCCCATTATTTAACTTTAGAAATGAGCGTTTTGTTGTTTTGCTTTCTGTGACAGGACTTGCAGAGCACTAACTTGGTTGAGGTATGCATGGCGCTAACTGTTGTCAGCCAGATCTTTCCACGGGAAATGATTCCAGCTGTTCTTCCCCTCATAGAAGATAAGCTTCAGCATTCCAAGTAGGTAGTTGCTCATAGGATTTCAGACTGTGCTGTGATCTCACAAAGGCTTTCTCTTGCGAATGACTGCTTCTCCAGCAGCTAATCACAAGTTTGTGCCTTTCCTAATTTTGCTATTGTACGTCTTTTCTCTCTTTAGTTTACACACTGTTGAGTGCATAATGATAAGTCTCCAGTTTTGCATAACTATTGTTGATGATTAAATATCATGTAATTTGTATGTGTGTAGATACTTCTAGGAAATGTATGGGACTGAAAAGTGCTTGCTGTAAAATGGAGTAACAAATTGGACCCTTGGTATTCATTGCATCAGTGGCAGATCTGTGCCTGATTTTAGATAAGCTGAGAATGCACATGTCCCATTTGAAGATGGTGAGCAGCAAATGCAGCCACTTTGATTATCAAACCAACTAGTTTATAACATTCCATATATGTGAAAATAGAATGCCAGCATAGTGGATATGCTGAACTATCAGACTGTCTAACTGCTAAACTTGCTCTGCCACAAATTGACCATGTGGGCTTTGCCAAGTCACTTCATCTCTTTTTCTGTTCCTTAGCTGTAAAACTTGTCTACCTGAAATATGTTATGAAACCTGATTTATTTTATTAGCTGCAGAAATGGAAAATGGTACAATATTGGTGTTTTTCATAAGAGTCAAGTACCTAAAATACTTAAATATAGAGACAAAAATTAAAGGTTAAATAAAGGTTTGAGTTGGTTGATCTTAAAACAACATCTGTTTTTTCTTCATAGGGAAATTATCCGAAGGAAGGCTGTGCAAGCTCTGTATAAGTTCTATCTCATTGCTCCCAACCAAGTCCAGCACATCCACGACAAGTTCCGGAAAGCCCTGTGTGACAGAGATGTTGGAGTTATGGCTGCCTCTTTGCACATTTATCTTCAAATGATTAAGGTAAACTAAAAAATAGAAGTCCAGCAGAACTTGTAAACTGTTTTAAAAAAAAAATGTGTCCTTGTCTGTAAAACTGATCAGTAGAAAAATCTTATTTAAAATCTTCCAGAAAAATAAGAGCAGAGTTGATGAAACATTTATCATTTATGTAAATTCCAAAAATTGTCTGTGTTTTAAATTTCTGACAGTCCTGCTAGGTGCACTGCCTAACACTAGTTCTCAGTATCTTTCTATCCCTGGCTTTTGTTCTTAAGTCAAATGTTTATATTTTTAATGTATTAACAGTTACACTGAGGTATGTTTTTTTTCATGCGTATTTTTCCACCACAAGAGCAGTGCCTTCAGCCATGGTTTTACAAAACTTCACATTAGTGTATGAGAGGGAGAAGAGATGAGTTAGGTAATAGACCAATTAATTGAGTAGTTTTGGCTAGGAAATTTGTATTCACTTAGGCTGTGTTTATGTTGTGTTTGAGATGTCATATTTAGAACAGTTGCATGTTTTGTTTTTTTTCCTTTGTCTAGGAAAACTCATCTGGATATAAGGACTTAACAGAGAGCTTTGTAACCATTCTAAAGCAGGTAGTGGGAGGAAAGCTTCCCATAGACTTCAATTACCACAGTGTACCAGCACCATGGTTACAGATTCAGCTCTTAAGAATACTGGGGCTGCTAGGAAAAGATGATCCAAGGTAACCAGGTTTTTTTATGTAACAAAGTCTTTGAAAGTGGTAAGAATACACTGTGAATCATTATTATGTGATGACTCATGACGAATTTTACTTTCTTTCATGAAGAAAAGTGAAAGAAACGTGTGAAGTATGAGAGGTTTAACATTTTTTCTCTTATAACAAATACCGATCTAGGGTTTCAGATTTACTGAAAAGTGGCTGTGCTTAGTTTGTTTCCCTATTTCTCTGTGGGCTAGGCAACTGAATGTGAAGGGGTGCATTGAGAGTCACTTAGTTAGAACCTCTATTTATTAGGTTAGCAGAAGACCAAAGGGAAAAGCCAGAGTAAAGATAGTGACGATTTAGATTGTCTGTGCTTTCTTTTCCATTTGGTAAGCAAAATAAACTTTTGTTTTGAGCAGTCAAGGAAGTGTTTTTACCGTGAAGACTACATAAAATAGTATATAGTATATCTTCACTATATTCTTCATAATATAGTAGATACTTTCAAATTAAAAGAGAGAATATCTGTTGAGATGCCATTTCAGTCCAGGTTATTGAGCCCTTGCTCTAATGAGAATTTCTTCATGTAAATATTCTTGTTGGAGTCCTATGGAGCACTTGCATGTGTGGTGTTTGGTTTTGCTTCCCAGACCAGGCCCCACAGGTGTATTTATACAATTATTTAATGTGCTTCAAATCAAATTACATATTTTTAATGGAAAAAAATATTTTGTAACAGGACAAGTGAATTGATGTATGATGTTCTGGATGAATCTTTGAGAAGAGCAGAAATAAATCATAATATTACATATGGTGAGTGAGAATATATTATACTTAAGAGCGAAATTAAAATTATAAGGAGAGATATACACAGTACTGTTGACACAGACAAACAAATATGGTTAAATAATCTGATAAATGACTGAATTTGGCTGTTGTGACTGGTGACCTGCAAAGCATGAAAATTACAGCATTTCAAAATATATACAGAAATGTATTGAAGTAGACATTTGTGTTAATAGGGAACATCTGAAATTGGGCTCAAACTTGGCTCATTTTCAAATAGATGAGTATAATATGGAAGTCCTCCAAGTTATAGTAGGGTTCATCTTGCCTTCAAATATGCAAGGTTGTATGCTTGGTGTGAACACCTACTGTACAGTGATCTTGGTTATAGTACCTAATTTTAAAATAGAAATGGTGATGCTTTCCTTTGTCAGAAAGAACAATGCTGGACTTCAGTTTCTTTTTTTTTTTTTAATTGTCTACATAATCTGTTGTTGAGACATATAGCAAAAAAAGGGAGGATGCGAGACATCTGCTTCTTTTACAGATTCATTTGTGATCCTTTGACTTACCCTGTAGCACCAGTTAATATATTTCCAGAGTTCATTGGTATTACATATGGAAAGATGTGTTGCCATATGGCACTGCTGTTGACTTATAACTCTTGCAAACAGCCATGATAATGTAATTTCCAGTTTGTGGGGGAGGGCAGAAGACATCTGACAATAGAGCAGAACAAACAGGAGATACTTTAACAAGACTGAAAGTATTGTTTTAAAATGTGCATCTTTGGGGTTTTTCCCTGTTAAGCATAAATGTCTAAGGTTTTAGAACATTGAATTAAAAATGGAATGGCATCTCTCATTGTAAATGATATAGTGTTTCATGGTTTTGAAACTAAACTATTAAAAGTACTAGCATACACACATTAGTTAAATAGGTAAATTTAAGAGTTGATTTTGAAAATGGCTAAATAGGTTTGCTGTCTTAAAATATATGTAGAATTTATAAATGGAGTTCCCAAGACTATAAATGTACATAAATCCTTTGTACAGTGAGAGGAAATTGGATTCCTAATGCTGAGTGTTAAATACTCTGGAGATCAAAGTGGATGACCATATGTGAAAATGTTCATATTAGCACTCAGTGAAATGTATACAGAGAAAGTTTTATGTGCATTCCTCCATTCATGTTTGTCAGTTGTTTTGTAAAGTGCTGAAGAATTGATGATGCCTCCCTATGCAAAAATGTAAATCCGTTAAGTTATGTTCTTGGAAAATAGCCAGTTCTGTTAAATGCTGAAATCCATACTTTTTGGACATTCTTGGCTTGTTGCAGACAAGTTAGCACACATACCTTTCTCAGGCTTAGCTTTTCAGTGGCTAAAAATCAATAGATTCAGGTCTATCACCCAGCCAATAAATTTTAGCCTAAATGAGATTTGGCAAAAACATGCAAATTGTTGACATGGTTTGAAATCCCTGAATTATGTCTGATCTTTTCTCCCTTTGCCCATACTAATAGTGGATAACCTCAGTAATTCATCATGACTTCTTAACTGCTGTTGATGCCTATATGATGATGTTGAGTCTTTCTGAAAATGAGTAAATTACCCTTTTGCTTTCTTTAGGCCTCCACACAGTCTAGTCTTGGCCACCAACCAGTGTCTTGGTTGGTTAGTTTTACAGCAAACTTTGAGGTTGGAAAGTTGTGTAAAAACTGAGAATTTATAATAAAAATATTTCTAAAAGAAGGTAACCAGGATTTCAGTCCTGCTTTCATTCAAGTCCATGGGAACTGAACTATTAACTTCAGTGGGAGGAAGATAATTAGGCTCCAAGTCCTTGTTAGAGTGAATGAGCTGTACTTGTAAGTCTGCTACAATGCTGGATGGGGAGACCTTTATTCAACACAAACCATTTACACATTTACATGCACTAAAAATAAATGGTCAGATCGGTTTTTACTTCATTGCTCTGTCTAAAGACTTAATAATCCATTGATAGACTTCAGAGACTTGCTAGTTTGTTGACAGAACTGCCTGTTCCTAAGTAAGAAATCAAGTCTCTGCTGCCTATGCCATTCTGTACTAATCTATCCATGCAACTGTATAAACTGTACTTGGCTCCCTGTCAGACACCCTCTGTTCTTCTAACTATTATTAACAAGAACTGTCAGCTAAATTTTCAGCAATTTTTTTTTTTTTTAGATGCAACAAAAATTCATCTTGTTTTGATGTCATTTTCCCTTTTTTGGGTGGCGAAGCACAGAACATATTTCAAGCCGTAACTGAAACTCCCCTCTGTAGTTATGGCTGCGTATCCCTGCCTAGCCTGCTTTCAGTCACAATTTTCACCTGTTTAATTTGGTGCAATTACCTTCATGGCAGAAGCAGTACAGATATTTCTTGCCTGCAGGAAGGAAATTTATTTATGTACAAAGAGTAACACCTGTTTGAAAAACATCAATGTGATTTAAAGATCTCAGAAATCTACATAGAGATTGCACGTAGGATTGCTTTAACACATTGAGTGTACCCCTCTTAGAGAAAGCTTTGACCTTGAAACTTTGTTACTTGTATGCTGCTTGTTTTGTAAAAATGCTTGTTATGCATTTATAAATTACTGCCATTTACTTGCTTTTTTGTTGTTTCCCCAGCCATCTTGTTTGAATGTGTCCAAACAATTTATACCATTCACCCCAAACCTGATCTGCTTGAGAAGGCTGCCAAATGCATTGGGAAGTTTGTTTTGTCACCAAAAATTAACTTGAAATATTTAGGTAAGGATACCTGGTCACCTGAACAAGAAGTTTTGAATTGAATCTAATTGTGTCTGTGCTTTTTTTTCATATCCCTTTGTAATAACTTATTTTCTAGGATTAAAGGCTCTTACCTATGTTATCCAGCAGGATCCTAATCTGGCACTTCAGCACCAAATGACAATAATTGAATGTCTAGACCATCCTGATCCCATTATTAAAAGGGAAGTAAGTTGATTTTTGATTTCCACAAAATAGGCCTAATGTCTGCACTGTAGTTATGAATTCTTAGTGTTATAACACAGTGGCATAAAAGTCATATTGATGTTGCACATGCTAAAGGTAAAAGTACACAGAGCATGCATTTACCGATGTAACTTCTGTTTTTTAACTCTTCTCATTTTTCATCCTTATTTCCTTGTTAAAACATTTATTTAGGATATGCCAGTATTTGTCTTTTATCCAGTTTGGCACTTTATTTACTTTTCCTCTATGACTGATTAGGGTCATGTTTTTTTTTCTTCAGACATTGGAACTTCTTTATAGAATTACCAATGGGCAGAATGTAACTGTCATAGTTCAGAAGATGCTTGACTATTTAAAACAAAGCAAAGAAGAATATACCATCATCAACTTAGTGAGTAAAATTGCTGAATTAGCTGAAAAATATCCTTTTGTTTTGCTGAAGCTGACTCATGTAACTGACTCATGTAGCTGACTCTCATTAATCCCAAGAACATTTTGTGGCCTTTCTAGACAGGGCATCAAGGCCATACTAAAATGGGGGGAAAAGGTAAGCAGAAGTGAACACTTGCAGAAATGGTCTTGACATTATTTGAACCATAAGTGAAAAGTTAAGAATGTTTTTTATTTGCAATTAATCTTTTAAGTTCATATTAAAACCTGAGCTTAAAACTCCAAAAAAAAAAAAAAAAAAAAAAGTCCTCTTTAGTATGGGAAAGAGAGACTCCAGTGCTCTAAGTGCAGGCTTCAGCACTGTTGCTTTTAAGAATGATTTTCCTAGCAGCGTATGTGGAGAAAGCACCGGGGTAAGAGATCGCAAAAATTCCAACCTACAGTAAAAAAAGGTAAACTTTTAAACCCTAAGTATGCTGAGAATATAAAGACAATACCTAGATAACTAGTCAGTCTCTCTCTAGATAACTAGTCATTCTCTCTCTCTCTCTCTCTCTCTCCCTCTCTCTCTCTCTCTCTCTCTGAAATGAAGTTCCTGGTATGTTGCAGTGCAACAATAAATCTATTTGCAATACGAATAAATTCTGACTAACACTTTATTTGGTATTGCTGAGGCTTCTGTTAAGTGTGGGAGACTATTATTCCTGAGTAAACTTCCAGAAGTTAGCAACTGAACACTAAGGAAAGCTATTTACAGTAAAAGCTCTGTTACTGGCACCCTCCACCCCACTCATGCCAGATAATATAAAATCACTGGTTACCTGAGGCAGGTTTTCGGCTAGACTGGGGCAGGGGTGGTGGTGGTCGCACAGAGGTGGGAGGGGTGGTGGTGGCCACATGTGGAGCAGTGGCCACACGGTGGTGGGTGGCGGCAGCGGCCTGCGCATGCGAACTTCTCCCAATCCCTGTGTCAGGCCAGCTGGCTGGAAATTTTGGTTAGTAGAGTGTCGGTTACTTAAATGCCGGTTAACACAGCTTTTACTATATTTCTAATTCTGAATATCAGAGTAGTACTTGTTTATAGGCAATAAGTCACTTAGACTTGTTCTTTTTCAGTTTTAAAAGAAGAGCAAATGCGTATAGGCAAAACCCCACATGCTCAGTGTATATGTAAAACATGTACTGGTATTATAACTCCCCTCGGAAATTAAATGTGGAATAATCTTTGTTGTGAATTTAAAGCATTCCACACTGTCACTCTCTGTTGATACTTCTGCATTAACTGTGCCATTATGGTTTAAGTTCACACGAATTCACAGAAGTTTAGGGCTGAAAGGGACCTCATGAGAGGTTAATTCACTTCCCTCTGGCAGTCCAAGTACTATATGCTGTAGCAGCATCTTAGCTTTCCCAGTAAAATAGACAGCTTTGGACCATTGTATAATTGTTTTAAAAGAAACCCCACAATATTCCAAGGAATTTGCAGATTACATTAAATATGGAAGGACAGCTGTGAGAGATACTCGAGGTTTTGTAGAACACATGCCACAAAGATTCTTCACAGTTCCATATTGAAACCCTTTCGGAGAAGTGTGCCAAACCTTTCCTTAGCTTGGCAATCCTTTAAATGGTAAGCATTTATTTGCACAAATAGCATATTCTCAAAATTGTATCTGTTAAGATTGTAAGTAAAAGTAAATTCAATACAAAAATTAATAAAACCAATATGGTTTAGCATTTCTTCCCTTAACGTTCTGGGCACATATGCACCTGCCAATGAGTGGTTCATCCAGACTATGAATGCTGTGTTTTCGATAGGAGGAGATGTGATGCACCCTGATATTCCAAACAACTTTTTGAGGCTGCTGGCTGAAGGTGAGGAACTTCCTGGACACTGTAAAGAAACAACTCTGTGTTCCTAGTTAATTATTTAGTTTGATTTTTCTAAGTTGATTTTGAATTCCATTGTACATGCAGCATACATTTCAAATAATGGTTGTCATTTTGTTTTCAGGGTTTGATGATGAAAAGGAAGATGAGCAGCTACGGCTTTATGCTGTTCAATCATATCTTGGTTTATTGGAGGAGGAAGATGCCGTTTATCCTCAGAAATTTCTTCAGGTTATGAGTTGGGTAAGATACCTATGATTTTTTATTTTATATATAATTTTATATATAAAATTACTATGTGTGGAAGCTTGTTTTAAGTGAGAACTTTTTGAACATTATAGTCTCTATTTTCCAAAAGGCATGTATTACACTGAAACCTGTTCAGCCAGCTGTCTGCTTTGGTGCCTGTCACTTTCTAATTTCTCCATAGTAAGACCATAAGTAGTTATGAAAACACATGTTCAGTCTTATGGTGACCTGCCAAACTGCTGCCCTAGTATTCTCTCTCGCACAGAAGAAAACAACCAGGCTCTACTTGAAATGGAAAACAAGTACCTGATTAATTGTGCTTGCATAGTTATTGGGTAACTGTTTTCAATCAGCCGCTTACTTACAAAAGTGCTGATTTTACTTTTTTTGGAAGAACTGAAAGCATTTTATCTTCTCAGCTAGCAGATAGTATCCATTGGCTTGAGGGAATAGTTTCTGACTTTGCTGTCTTCTCTTATTCATAGATTGTAAGGCCGGAAGGGACCTTGGAAGATCATCGGGTCCAGCTCCCTGCATCAGGCAGGAAAGACAACTGGGGTCAGGTGACCCCAGCAAGGTGACTGTCCAGTCTCCTCTTGAAGATCTCCAGGGCAATGAGTTAGTTTTTTAGCACACACTGAAGTTGATCATTTTAGGGTGTGGGGAGGCAAACTTACCACATGTCAGCAGTTCCACAGTATCTGCATTGTGCTTTTGCTTCTATCCTGTGCTAAGTTTGCTGAGGTTGCCAGCAGGGCAAATAAAACTCTGGTGTGCATCAGCTGATGTGTTGCCAAGTCCAGGGAGGGGCTTCTCCCTCTCTATTTGGCATTGGTGAGGCCACAGCTGGAGTACTGTGTCCAGTTCTGGGCACCTCACTGCAGGAAGGATAAGCTTGAGAGGGTACAAAGAAGGGCCATGCATATGATTAGGGGCCTGGAGGATGGGCCCTACAAGGAGAGACTCCAGGAATTGGGTTTGTTTAGTCTGAGTAAGAGAAGACTGAGAGGTGACTTGATAGCCTCCTACGAGGTGTGAGCATCAAGATCTAGGGGAGCAACTCTTCAGGAAGGCATCTCAAGGGAGGATGAGGACCAATGGACACAAGCTAATAGAGGGAAAATGTAGGCTGAACATAAGAAAAAACCTTTTTTCCATAAGGGTTACCAGAATCTGGAACACTTCCAGCAGAGGTGGTGCAGTTGCCATCCTTGGAGGTGTTCAGGATGAGACTGGATAAGCACCTTGTTGAACTTGTTTGAGCCCAATAACTTCCCGCCCACGGCAGAGGATCAGACTTGATCTTGCAAGTCCCTTCCGGTCCATTGATCCTATGATTCCAAGTAGAAAATAAACCAAAACAGCTTCACTTGTGTGTTCATTCATTTTCCCTTATCTTCATTTACCCTGATACAGTTCACTCATCTGCCCATATGCTTAATGCAAGTAAAACCAGCAGACGTCATGTCCCTTTTCACTGCATATATTTTGGGTTTTTTTTAGGTGGATATATAATGTGAAAATAGCTTGTAAAGTTCCAAATTTATAAATAGTTACATGCTTATATTTATTTATTTATTTATTTATTTATTTATTTTTAACCGTAAGGTAGATTTTACTATGTTGGTATTGCATATTAATTTTCAGATTGGTAAATCATGCTTGTGCAATCAAATGTCCACTATATCTGTTACTTCTAGGTTTTGGGGGAGTATTCCTATATTATAAATGATGAGGGTGATCCAGAAGTCATTATGACCAGACTGTGCAAATTACTGAAGAAGACCTTTGTTACTTCTGAAACCAAAGCCTGGATTATGGCTGCAATCACCAAAATAGCGTCCCTTAACCGTGGCTCTAAAACAGTTGATAAACTAATCCAGGAATTCAGCACTTCTCTGGATACCTGCATGAGGCAATATGCCTTTGAATTAAAACATCTCTGTGAAGACAAAGATTTGATGAAAAACTTGCTTCCACGTGATGCTAGCTGTAATGATATGGTGGTAAGGTAACTTCAGCCTGTGTTCTGACAAGGCTGACATTTTTGTGGTCCCATGAATAATGTGCATCTCCGAAGTTAGGAGTTGGAAGATCCAGATGTGTCAGTTTACTTAGTATGATGTTTTTAAGATACTGGTTGCACTGGGATTCCATTATTCATTCAGAAAGGGAGCTAATGTGATTGGGTTAACAATTGAGTTAGTATATAGATGTGAACACAGAATAGATCTTATTGGGATGCAGGATTTTTTTTTGGTCAAGTTTTCTTTTCCAGACAAATCAGTGATATTGAATGAGTTTCCATAGTTATCCATTGTTTAAGATTTATTGTTTAAATGGATGTTCCAACACAGAAATACTGTCTTCTATGTGTAGAATGCTCCTATGGGTAATGGCTTAAGTCTAGGATATACTAAAGCTAACTGATTCAAGTGTGAGAGCTGTAAACTGAATGGGTTTAGGTTGTAGCCGTGTTGGTCTAAGGACATAGGCAGACAAGGTTCCTTGGGTGAATTTGATATCTTTTATTAGACCAACCCAAATAGTTGGAGAATAGTTATTAAGCAAGCTTTCGGGTTCAAAAACCCTTCGTCAGGCTAAGGAAGTTTCAGCAGCCTGATGAAGGGTTTTTGAACCCGAAAGCTTGCTTAATAACTATTTTCCAACTATTTGGGTTGGTCTAATAAAAGATATCAAATTCACCCAAGGAACCTTGTAAACTGAATGGAACATTCTTCTAGTGGAATTAATAACCTGCCATTGTGAAAAGAGTCTAATGTTATTGTCCTTTTTGGATTCAATGTAGGTAGATGCTTCCTTATCTTTCCTAGATGGCTTTGTGGCTGAGGGACTGAGTCGTGGTGCAGCACCATATAAACCTCATCACCAGAGACAGGAGGAGAAGCTTTCCCAGGAAAAAGGTAGCTAATTTCACTGTATTTTTTAAATGTCTGATAAAATACCTTGATTAAAACATAGCAAGAACTTGATTAATTTGTATAATCTGGTCTCCTGAGAAATTTGGCTTGATAAAAAAAATTAGGCTAGAAACATAGGTTTGCATGTTTGTACGGGGGACACACACACACTTTTGTGTCTAAAATACATAGTTCAACAACAACTGGTTTTAATAATGATGGGATCCTGAATGTTAAAAGTGAGAAATGACAGTGTTTAGGTAGTGTAACTTCCCTTTTCTCATACAACTTTGATTTTGCTGTATATTTTCTGATCCATTTTGATGAATACAATTCTGACTTTCTCGTAGCTTTGAATTTTGAACCTTATGGACTGTCACTTTCTTCAAGCATGTCGTCTTCTGGCTTCACTGGCAGGCAGTCTCCCACTGGTCTCTCTTTTGGTTCTGACGTGTCTGGTAATAGCACTGAGATGGGACAAAAAGAGTGAGTTATTTTATCTTTACAAATCAAATGAAGAAAAATGTGGTTAAGTCCTATGTTCTTGTCACTGTTATAACTTTTTACTACATAATAATGGGGGAATAATCTTAAATACTTGCGCATGAAAACAGTTGACTGTTACCCTCAGTTGGCTGTGTATGCAAGAGTTGGAGCTCTCTCAATAACTGGCTCCATATTTATTTACTTACAAAGGAGACTGGAATCGTAGCATCTCTCTGGATATATCTTTCTCTTGTTGATGCTACTTAAATTACTTATTCTTTAAAAAGCAAGCAAACAAAAAAACCCACAAGGACCAAAAAAAAAATATTCAAACACCCAGAACTTTATGCAGAACGGGGGAAAGGAGAAAAGTTGCTATGTTCACTAACTAATGATGTACCAGTTAAAAAACGCAGATAAAGGGAGGGCAAATAGGACATATACTACTCACTAGAATCTCCTGTTCTGATTTCAAAACATTGGCTCAGAGTGCATTTGCTGAGCGCTGTGCTTCCCCCAGGTAGTTATTCACAAGTAATTTCTGTGCAGGAAATGAGAAACAGCCTAGGTGTTTTTGTGTTGCTGTTACGAAGCAAAGTGTAGCCCAGGTGTTCATAGATCTCACTCTTAAGAATGGTATTTCTTTTCTCAATAGCACTTTCACAGGTTTGTTCTTGCTTTCATTATGTATGTTTTTAGGATGAGTAGTCTGAAACTTGATGGTGTGAAGAAATTATGGGGAAAAGATGGCTACCTCCCCAAAAAAGAAAGCAAAACAGGAAAAGAAGATAAACTGGAGGCTGTACCTCCAGGCAGCACATTAGGGGGAAACATGGTTGATCATCCTCTGTCAGAAGCTGATCAAGAAGTTGTCAGCCCCTCAGAGGAGGAAAAAGAGAAGCAGCAGCTAGCATCAACATTGTTTGTTGGGCTAGCATCAAACAATGCTGTCAGTCTGGTATGTGATTTTTCCTTAAGCTATGAGTTATATAATATTTATAAAATAGCTGTAATTAAGGTTAAGGATATTTATTTGTAATGATATTCGAATCAGTATGTTAATAACATTTAAGGTGTGACTTGCATTGGAGGAGAAGACATTCAAATTGTCTGTTAAGAACTGGTTATTTAAGCTACTGAAAAAGAAAGAAGAAATCCCTAAAACAGATAGTTTAACCAACCTCTTTGGGTCCTACAAATACTGCTGCTGCCCTGTGCTTTGCCCCCAGTTCTGTTCCACCAGGCTTTACCAGGTGTAGCTGTCTTTGCCCTATCTACTAGAAATTGCAAACTTCACATTCCTGGCAGTAAAGGTTAAGACTGACATGTCCTTTTGCAGATAAGTGGTAAAATGGCTCACTTATTTTTTTTAATACTGACCCTAAGTCAGCACTTCTTGTTTAATCCTTGTATTTTATCCCTGCTGTTTTGTAAAACCTTTGGCTATGCATTTGTTGCACAGTGGCCATGAAGATCTTCTAATTTGGGTTTTATTGATATCAGACTGAATTCTGCCCTATGAACCATCTCTGATATCTTATAAGTAACTTAAAAGTAGCTTATGTATTGTCCAATAAAAACTTTGTTTGTACATTTTTGTATTTAAAGATTACCTCTCTTGGGGTATTTGATTTGTATTCTTGATTCTCAAGATCATAGTCTATTCTGTTGCCTAAGCTACCTGGCCAATCACCAAGAAGAAAATAAACCAAAACATCTTTTGTTTCTTTTGCAGATGGGTAAAGCAGACACCACCACTCAAAAATTCAAAAGAAAATCAAAAATAAGTGAAACCCAAAATAGTGAAGAAGCCCCAAGTATCCAATATGATGCTACCTTATCTTTCAGACCTTTGCCTGAAGCACAATCAAATGACAATGAAAACATTCAGAGCACCGAACATGTAAGATTAAGGAAAAGCTCACTGAGTTCTTCAGAAGTTTTGGAAGCTAGCGTCTCATTTAAGAGACCTCAGTCCCTAACAGAAGCTGGACTGGATGCAAAACTTCCAGATTGTAGACTGTCACCATCATCTTTGTTTGCTGATAATAACATTGAAGTTTTTCAGCCTTCCCAAGTCATTCCATCTGTAGTTGCCAGTAAAGCCTCCTTGATTCCTTCCTTATCGGAAGAATTAGCCAACAACCCTCATTCAGAAGCAGTAGAGCTTTGTAGCTGTGACACCCTTGCTGTGAACTTGTGTAAAGTTTGGACAGATGACTGTTTACTGCTTGTCTTGTTTGTTGCCAACAGAAGCTCCTCAGCACTTAAGAATGTGAATCTAGTATTTGAAAATTCAGAACATTTTAAGGTAAGAAAATTGTCACTAGTGTAGTAGAAGAGATGCATGCTTTTACTCTGCTTTTCACTTATACCGACATATACTGAGTTCTTCCTTTCAAATAATTTGGACAAAACAAGTTTTACTTCAAGGATTAACTACAAAGCATGTATAGTCAAGATGTATTAGAGAGATTTTTTTTCTGCAATGTCAGCTACGTATGGGGTTATTTATTGGTTGGTATGTGATGTGACTGAAAATCTTGTTAATTAAACCTTCCCACGTGTTGCATATTTTTTAAGGGTATCTTTTGGTTGTCGGTACACATCAGTGATTGGCCTTACTATCAGTATTTCAAACATTTGATTATTTCACTTATGCGTGAAATGTGGATAGATGACCTAAGAACAGTGCATGCCTGTATCGAGTCCTGGATACTCTGTGCTGACTCATTTACATAAATTGTCTCCTCTTCAAAATCAGGGCTGATGTTAGAAGAAGCTTCATCATGGAACTGTTAATTGTTCTGGAATCTTTCTCCTGCTGGTTTCTGGTTTATATCAAGCCCAACACTTGGCAGTAACATAACACATTTGATTGGTCCGGACTTGTTCTGAAGTTATGATGAGTCAGTATTTCACTGATTGGCACTGATAGGCTGGGGGTGGCAGCCTATGACTGTGGACTGGATCTGGCCTGTTGAGCCATTTGATCTGGCTTGCAGATATTGGGCTTCAGAAGCATTTGTCATCAGGGCACATTGGCAGTCACTTTCTCCTGCCACCATAGGAACAAGGGCCGGTGGCGGCTAAGTCCTAGCACCTGCCTACCCACCCACCTCTGACTGGAACTGGGTCGGTCTGGTCCTTAACCTGAAAACGGTGCAGACCACTAGTGTAGGCAGTTGCAGCAGAGAAACCGAGGGCTGAATAGACATGGAAACAACAGTATCCTTATTACTCGTGGAGGCTTCCGTTTCGTGATTTAGCATGTAAAAGGGCAGTAGGGGAATCTTGCACTGTTACAATCTGCAGTGAGCATTCTGAAGATAACTCAAAGACTACAGTGTCTCAGGCAGTCAGGTCAATACCCTCTCAAAAATTAAATTAACTTAAAAATGCTGTTGGTTAAAGGAGCCAGTTGCATTTCTATTTTAACTCTGACAAGGCTTTACTAAAGCTTAATAAGAAAGCTTAAAACTGAGAGTTGGATGCTCTGTCACTAGCCAAATCCAAGAAGAGTAAACATTCGTTTATAATTTACAGCTAAATCATAACCAATAGTATGAAAAATATGTGGTGCACCAATGTGCAACAGTACCAGGCAATGAAGGAAATCATTGAGAAAGCACTTTAAAAGATTGGCTTTGTTTATATGATCACCTGTGCCTTTCCTCTCTGTTAAGGGAAATAGATGTTTTATAATAAAATGCTAGCAGAGAAAACCAGTATTTTGTTTGGTTGTCTTAAGGTTACATGGAAATATTGTTTTGTTAGTAAAATATATTTTTGCACAATTTAAAGGAATTTTGGCAGTGTATTTGGGTGGAATTGTCCTTTGTGCTCCTAAGCTAATGCCTGACGTAGGGATCATCAGTGCCATGAAAGTTGATGTCGTCATCTAAGTGCAAGATAAGAATCAGTTCTGGTGTTTCAGGTATTGTTTTCCCTTTTTATTAGATAGCAAGATGAATATTTTCCATAACTCTAAATTTTGCTTTTATTTGTAGATTGTTGAAGGCCTTAGCTACCATTTTCCTGTAATAAAAGCTCAAAGTCTGGAAAGCTGCCAGAAGTCTGTGCAAATGGAAAAAAATTGTATGCAGGAGATTCTTGTGGGCTCTCTTAATTACCAATTAGAGATGGAGACTGGCCTTGAATTTTCAGTGACTTTGTCACTGACAGATTTTATCAGGTAAATAAGCTGCATTTTTGGAATGTCCTTGTGTTGTTTTCAAGTAATGGTTGGCTCAGTGATGGACTCTGAAATACTGGCTTCTACTTTCAGGTGGTTGATTTTTCATCTAATTCAGATGGCTAATGAACACTAACTTGTCACTGCTCAGCATCCTAATGTGTGGATCCCAGTGATCAAGAATGCCACCGTCTCCTGACAGCTTGGCCCCACCACCACAAGTGGTTCTTTTATTGGGAGTCTCAGTAGAAAGTACAAGGATTGACTAGAGACCAAGCTGTCAATAATTTCTAGCAGTTATCTATTGAAATTAAGATGTTGGCTTTTACCGCAGGGACAGTGTAAAAAAGTTTGTACAAAAATGTTTTCTTCCTGGGACTTAGGACTTCAGTCTTCAGAACAATTAGACAGCTTCAGTGAGCGCTAAAATGTTTTGGTGTGTTAAAATTACACACAAAAAGGTTTCTTTAGGTTTCTATATTGTTATCCCTTTTGCTTTTTAAATGTGTACTTGACACAGTGAGAAGGTTTTATTCCTGTCGTTAGCAAAGTGAGTAGAATTTTAAATTCCTGCTATTCTTTTACAAGGGTGGCAAAGATTAGTTATTTAGGCATAAATCTTACTTTTCCTGTTGCCCTTTTTTCATCATCTCCTTGAACTCAGCGTTTTATATTAAACAGAGAAAAACGTACTTGTCTTAAACATCTTACTGTAAAAGATTGACCCTGTTTTATTCTATACTGACACTTGCATTTAGTCTTACTTCCAAACATCGTGGAAAGTATGGAATTCTAGGGCTAAATAAGGCTAGAGATGTAGCCTCAAGCATTTTGGATAGTAAAGAAATGTTAGTATTTTTGAAAGCAGAAGATGACTTGCATATTTTAAGGATGTGCCCTAATGTTTGTCGTCTTAAAAGGGTTTAACTACTGGATTATTCCAAATACTGAGTTGCAAGTAAATTGTGAAGTAGAGTTAAGTACAAATCCTGTAAGATCACTGAATGCCTTTCCATTTTGGAATGTTCTCTTGAAAAATGCAGCATGCATTTTCAGTGTAGTTAATGGAACTGTAGAGACAAAGGGTGATAAAGGCATGCTGCTTCAGTATAAGATAAATTATACATGCTTAAAATTGGGTGAGCTTATTTTAAATACAGTGATCCAAATGGTGTGAAAGAGCTAACAACTTTTACAGTAAAAGAGCTCATCCTACATACTTGTCAACTGACAAAGCTTTTAAGTTAGCAGTAGTAGAAATCCCTTTTTTTTTTTTTTTTTTTTTTCTTTAAAGCAATCAATTTCGGTTCTGCTTTTGTAATGGCAAATGCTGGGGTTTTCATTGTAAAATGACTTTCAGGAGGCTTATAACCTGACAGTTCCAGCTTTTTTAGATGGTCAGCATTAACTTTTTAAATTTATTTATAGAGCTGTAAAAAAGCAATTCATGTTCTTTATATTGTGGCTGGGGGGGGTGTATTAAGACAAAGTTGTATTTTGATATTGTTTGCTTTATTGTTTTAATGCCCTTTGGATATAGTGGCTTCTGGGCAATCAAAAGCATGCACAATAGTATAGAAGTTTATTATTTTACTCAGTTTTGTATTAAAATTGGTTTCAGGCCAATGAAAATTACCACTGAGGACTTTGGGAAATTATGGCTGTCCTTTTCTAATGATGTGAAACAAAATGTAAAAATGTCACCTTCTCAGGGATCACTGTCAATAGCTCTGAATACCCTGCAGCAGAAACTAAAGCTCCATGTTGTTGATATTGTAGGTGAGTGTCGATGGTTTTGTATGACATGTAAGATGTGCCAGGCAAATAGTGTCTGCTCCCAAAAGGTTTATAATCTCAGTTCTGGAACACGTGTGAGTGCAGGTAACTTTGTACAAATTCACTTAATGCAGTGACATTAATGGACATGTCCAGATGAATGTGCACATGCGGTATGTGGCACCACATGTGTTCACTATGCTGCTAATTTGCAGGGTGGGGGGTGGTGTTTGACACCAGGAGATCCTGGTGTAAAAAAAAAAAAAAATGTGTGTGTGTGTGGGGGGGCAGTGCATGTGGCACCACCATGTGCTGCCCAAAACTGGAGCCTGGCCAGCTGGAGCCACACTCTGGCTTCCAGCCAGGTTCTCTGCTGCCAGAGGCCCCCAAACCCCCAGGTGAGGCTGCTGGGGCCAGTCTAATTGCTGGCCCCAGCCTCCTCTACTGCACCTGGGGCAATGCGCAGAGCATGCATGCACAGGCATTCCCAGGGGACAAGTAGCAGCAGCACATATGGTGCCACTGCTGTTTTTCCTCAGGGAAATATGCACCTTCCTGCTCATGGGGACGCACCTAATGGGTGTATTCAGTGATGAAGTTGAGGTTGATTTGTACATGTGTGAGTGGGTAAAGTATAATGGCAAATTATACAGCATCGGATGTTCTCATTGTACCTTTACTGAGTCATCCAACAGATGCATGTTTTCAGAAGTGAAAAGGAATTGGGAGACAAGCTTAAAGGATTTTGTTTAGTGAGGGATGAAATTAGGAGTGAATGAGGGGTGAAAGGTCTAGTTAGGAAAGATGTTTGCAGGAAGGAAGAAAAATGTTATATTTGAAAGATCTATATATTATGAAGCATATTTAACATAAACTGCAGTGATTTATCTCACTTGTAACTCATTTGTTGTTGTCTGTGTTGTCATTTGAAGGTAATGAGGGACTAGTGGCCTGCCAGCTGCTTCCATCTGTGCCCTGCCTGCTGCATTGTCGTACTCATGCAGGGATGTTGGCCTTGTGGCTCAGATCACCTTGTTCTGCTCTTCCAGATAGTTTGCTCTATCAGTGTCAAAAGGTGATGGAGGAAACCTAACTGCCACAGTGCCTGCTTTTGTAATGGAGAAAGCAAACAAAATGAATTTTTGTACACAGAAAGCAAATGTATAAGGTTTACATGGTTATGCAAATAATTACCAAAGTGAAATTAGGATACAGGCAGTCCTCAATTTACAACGTTTCGAGTTATGTTTCACACTTACAATGTTTATAAATTGACACTGTGTTTCAACTTTATGACATCAGTTTCAACTTGCAACGCGACGCCATGCCAGGAAACAAATTCACTGTCACTCATCTCCCTAGAGAACATCTGTCCAAACTTCCTTGAACACTTTCTTTTAGAAAGCAGACAAGACCCCAGAAGAACCTGCAGCCAAGACTCCTGAGAAGACTCTAGTCAAGAACCCTTCAAAAAGTCCAACAAAGAGCCCTTCAAAAAGTCCAGCAAAGTCACCTCAAAGAAGTCCTTCCAAATCAATATGATTGCTGTTTATAATATAAATACATGAATGTAGCTACATTACTCATCTATACTTGATTGAGGACAAAATTCTGGGGTATTTTTAGTGAAAATAGGGTATTGGGCCTTGGTTCAGGAACCAATCCCCTATTTATAACACTGATTTTCTTCTGAGAAAATTGGTTCCAAGTTGCAACGTTTCGACTTAAGACACGGTTTTCAGGAACCAATTGTGTCATAAATCCGAGGACTGCCTGTACTGCTCCTCAAAAGCAGCTTGAAGTTGTGGGGTTTTTTTTGACAGGCATCTGCTATGTGGATTGGTAGGAAGATCTAAAGTATGCCTGCAAGAAATGTGCTCAGGATTGTACAGTCGCTGAAAAGTGTTCTGTAAAGTATTACTAACTGTTCAGTTAAATGTGTCTTTCTTAGTTTATTGCAAATGTCTGAAAGTATTTATTTTCTACTATGTACATTTTATATGCAGCAACAGTTTATTTATAATAGCAGCTACTTAGTTCTTAAGTATATGGGAGGAAAAACTTATTGCCACTATAAAGTCAGCTTTATACTGTGTAAAAATACCAGTTTGTCTTTATCATTACCCATTACTTCATTGAAGAGCCTCTTTTAAAGCTGCTTTTAACACTATTTGAAACAAGACCCTTTCTTGCTGTTGCTCATGGTGCATTATCTTTCTGTAGAGGATATACATGTGTGTGTTAACATATGGTTTTGCTAGTCAAAAGCACTGCTTGTGTTCTTTCAATCATTTGCCAAGTATGTGCTTAAGTTATGACATCCAATTAGTTTGGAGGGGGGAGAGGGAGGGAAATAGGGCAGGGGTAGAGGTAGGTAAAACTGTTGTACAGTTGTGACTGAATTGGAGTGTGTTGGATTATCATCCGAGTCACCCATAGGATGTCTGCAGCTCTGTTACTTTTGTTTACCCCGTCTTATCCTCCTTTGTGAGAGGCCTGTAATAGTAGCTGAATTACTGTGCATACCCCAAAGACACTTTGCAAATGGACAGTAGAGAAAACTGTTAAAGCTGAATTTATAATAGTCCTGGATGTATTTAGCCCTGTGGTTCTGGATTATGTATTTGATTTTGGTTTATATATCTGTCCCTGAAACAATTTTAGGGAAGAATTTTGAGTATTTTGATTTTTCTCTTTATAATCTGTTTTATCTGTTTATTGAACTGTGTGAACTGTTGGCTAGTGCAGGCTTTGGACATGACTTGTGTTGCTATATATTTTTCTAAACCTTAATGGATCCAATCAGCCCAGCATGTATGCTGATGATGTGTCTGGATTGTTTCTCTCATAATCTTTTGTCATGACCAGTGCCCAGACTGCATCCTGGCCTTGAGACTCCTAAACCCTTCATTTATTTAGACAGTAATAAAGTACAAGCCCTTTCTTTATTTTAGTTATTTACAGCTGCCCACATTTTGCACAAACAGCTCTATGGGCATGGCATGAAAAGCAAATGGAACTGTTTCCTTACTCTTTTTATATTGAAAGCAAAAGCCTTTTACAAGGTATTTCAGTTGTCATCTCTCTCACTTAGCAAATATCAGGAAAGAAGTATTAATTCTGTTTTTGCTATTATTTTGCCTCGTTTTGTTAAGTGTTCACATTTACGAATGTAATTTCAGTACGCTGATGATTAAAACAATGTTTTTTAAACTTCCTTTAGAGGATAAGCCAATTGTCTTGTCTTGTATTAATATCCACAGGTATTGTTGCAGAAGAAAAACTCCTTTTGACGCTGCTGTTTCCATACCCTATGTGGAGGGCTTTTTAAAAAATGCACTGAATCTATAAATATGTTAAATATTCTGCACACATGTAGCATTTACTTAATAGCTTGAGATTTATATGAATGAAAACTTTTATAGTTTCCTGGAAACTTAAATCCCTGTTAGCACAGTACATAAATCAGAGTTGGGTGCTATAATTAACTTCAGTCTTTTTTTAAGAACTGAAAAAAGTTACAGTAGCATCTGTCTGCTGGCCTATGCATTTTTCACCATTTTAGCAATGGGTTGTTGAGTGTCTTATGATATGAAACAAATAATGCCTTTTGTATGTTTAGTCACGTGATGCTCCTTCCCTCCCTTTCTATTATTTATGTTCACCATATTGTTAATGTATGTTGTGCGGTTAATATGTGGAGTCTAAGAAAACAATCAAAGGCCTTTAGCTACTGTAACATGAAGGTGGTGGCTTTCTTTCACCTGTGGTACAGTATTTTTAGACTGTCCATCAAAACTATTGTGTTGAAATTTCTACTGTGCTTCTGTTGTCATGTGATTTAATAAAATCTCCAATTGAGTTTTACAGCTGTTCTCATTGGACATTTGTTCATGCCAGGTGTAACTTTTAATATTGGCTCTATTAACAACGCTGGCATTGTATAAAAATTAAAAAATAGTTGTACCCCAGGCTAGGTATTTTATATTTAATAACTGCATGGCTGGATTAACACTGAGAAGAACTTGCATAAAATACCAAAAAAACCAAAAACCTGGTTCTTTTTTTTACTGGCATTAACCGTGTACAGATTACTTTTTAAATTAGATATGTTAGCAAGCATACAAACATAAAAAAGTACATAACTTCTTAGCGAATTAGTGGAGTCCTAACCCTAATTTGATTACTTTTACTTCTCCTTGTTGCAACAAAATAGTAACCAACTGTCACATTTCACACAGCCCCAGGTTTGCTTGTTCTGCCTGATTAACAAATGTTTAAACAAAGAATATCAGAAATGTATATGACACACACTGATAGATCTGTTGGGCAGCACTTTATCTTAGCGCCTGCTTTCTATTATCCTTCCTGGAATATTGCTAGACTTGGTCTAACCACCTGAGGAAGTCTTAATAAATCTAAAGGTCCTGCTCTCATCAGTTTTAGAAATGATTAGTACAGTGCAATCTTGGTTTGAGGTGTTCTGCTTTGATGGTGCTGTTTGGATGACACTGCTGCTAGTGTTCTGGGCGTGTAATAAAGTCTGAATCCCTGTGGTTTTGCCAAGTCTCACACACTTTGCTAACACAATTTCCTGTAAAATGATTATAGGCAATTTAGGTAATTTAGTATGAAGTTAGAGTAAAAATAATATTGAAAGTTCTTTAATAGGTGTTGCAGTTATGTGAGCTTTCAGCAAACAGGTTAGTCTTGTAGAATGAATAATCATTTTGTGCTCATATATTTTGCTTTTGTAGAATACCAAGAAGCTACCTATGTAAGTTTTAAATATAATTAATTATGTAATTCCAGTCCA